ATTTTGGATATTTTAATAATAAAGAGCAATTCACTCAAACAATTCAGAAATATATTGCAGTCGTCAAAGAAATCGCCATATCAGCGGAATGACGAAATAAACAAAAATTTCCGAACACAATTTTTTAGAACAACTATTTTAATGTATAAAAATGATATTTTCATAAATATAACTTAAAACCAGCAGGAGCACAACTCAAAAGCGTAACGGTACCGCGATTTAAGATTTTCCTGGATAATTCTTACATTATTTTATTGTTTGTTAATTTTACAACTTTACCATATTTTGCATGCACTGGCGAACATTTGGTGAAAATTTGATCAAAATCGGACAGATATTGAGCGCGCAGTAGCGATTTTCCGCAAAACGCCAAAAAGGGTGTCCTGTAACCGTAAATTTCATCACAGCTTGAAAGAGCATCACAAAATTAGTAATATTCCGAAGTTTCGTTGCGAAATGTTGTAAAATGCGGATAATATAGTCCTGCGAAGTTTGCCGTTTTTCAGTCATTTCGTATATTACGCACGCGGGAAATTGATACCGCTTTCTGGAGCTCTATACCGTAAAGCCTTGGGCAAACTAGGAAACATTGTTGTGGAAACATTTGTGATTCTCGATGTTTCCTCAAATGTTTCCATGTTTGCCCACCCGTGGAAACATTGTGCGGAAACAAAATTTGCTTCCCGAGAAGCAAAAATGTTTCCTATAGCGAATTCAGAAACATTTGATGTTTCCCTATATGTTTCTCACTAATGTTTCCTAGTGTTTGCCCACTCTGGGAAACATTGGCAGGAAACAATGTGGAACAACAATGTTTCCTAGTTTGCCCGGCCCCAGGGCTTAACTTACGCCAAAATAGCTCCATTTCCAACGAAGCTTCGTAACCCCATCACACATTCATATAGAAATGTGACTCCTTCTCTTTGATGAGGTCGCAGTGCATTGGCGACATAAGGATCCACTACTACGTCGACGACACTCAGTTGTTTCTTGTTGTGCTCAAACTGAAAGGAATTAACGTTAAGGGCACAGTTCAGCCTTTTGAATGATGGGTTTTAAGTCGCATTACTACCCTTTGAATTGAAAAAACTAACAGTAAGAAAATCAATTAAGCATAATTGAAGATCAGTGATCTCAATGTTTTTAACATTTTTTTAACATATTTAATGATAACAACATTGAGAGTTCACTAATCTTGAATTATGCTCAATTAATTTTCCTAGTTAGATGACGGACATCTCACTACTTCAAGTGAAAATATCAGGGGGTTTTTCCAGGGATTTTTTAGTAAACGGCCCCAAAAACTCAATCTTGAATTGAGTTTTGAAACTCAATCTTCTCACCAAAGTTTCAGTGCAGTAAAAATGAAGTTGTTTTAGTTAAATTCGTGACGTGTGGAAATTAGTCTTCAGTTGGAAACCCGACAATTAAGAAAAAATGGCTGGAATTCATCTCACAACACAAGAAAAACTATGCAATCGCCATCTTTAACCAGTTTATAGTGTCCCTTAGTGCCCCTGCTTTACCACATTCCGTCTCAACTAGATTTATTGAGTACAGGTGCCAGCCCCCCCCCCCCGGTAGGGGGGGGGTGCAGCCACCCCAGCTGTTCAGCTAAACTCAATCTTCTTTGCAAAAACGGACCCAAGAGAAAAACCCCAGAAATATTTCAAGAATTAAGCAAGATATAGTGAAAAATCGGTAAAAGAAGTTAATATAGTTTCAAAAGTTCTTTGAAATGAGAAAATAAAAATTGATATTGCTATTTCCCTTTAAAGGGAACAGGCCAAAAACACAATGACAAGATTGACAACCACGACGCACCTGATGTGTTGCACTGGGTCTGGGCATGACAAGCGCTCCTGGGGCAAGGGGATCAAATCTTGGTGTGATTGGTCTTTTACTTAGAACATCCACCAATCCTTTGTTTTCTGACGTGTTGCTTGTCTTCTGAGGATTCGAGAATGGTTTTACCAACACTAAACAGAACACATTTAGATATATTTTTGCGGATATCGCTTCTCGGTAGTCACGATGTTGTCAGCCACAAATCAGCATCTTTCGCATGTTCCAAGATAATAGCTGACATGTACAATATGAACTAGCTTTCGTTGGCAGGGATGCGATTACCTGAAAATATAGTATTTAAAGTGCCTATATCACTTGTGGGACCTTTATGTATTTAAAAAGAGCATAAAAAGTTAGTTAATAAGTTCAAAAGCTTTTTTAGATTTAGTTCAATAATTTAGAAGACACAGGTCTCTAAACTACCTACAGTTCCTGAGTCCCAGGCTCCTATGCACAATGGACAGTTTCGAAAAAGGCCAAACCCAATAGCCGTGTTTAGACCCCAGGAGGCTGGGACTCAGAAACAGTCCGTTGTTTAAAGGCCTATATCCTCAAAACTATTGCACCAAATCCAAAAAAGCTTTTGAACTTATTAGCTCATTTTTTACGCTCTTTCCAAATCCATAAAGGTCCCGCAAGTGATATAGGCACTTTAAGGAGAATTTCGACGTTACGAGCGAAGGCACTTCGTCTGGAGTTACTGTACCCGTTACTCAGTAATTCCAGATGAAGGGCCTTCGCTCGACACGTCGAAATTCTCCTTATATTTTTCAGGTAGTTTCATGCCTACCAACGAAAGCTTGTTTATATTATTGGCATCTTAACACCCATGTCCCACTATGGGCGCAACAACATATAGTTGACAGACATTATTCCTTAATAATAATAATAATAATAATAATAATAATACAGTTTTAGGAGCATCCTACATAGTCTCGATGCTCTTACCATTTCCAAAATCTTATCATTTATACTGTATTACATGTATGCAATTGATGATTCCCCTTATTTAATACGTTTTCGTAGCGCTTTGCATTGTGGTTATAGTGGTATCACCAGGGCCGCCGAGAGCTTGGCGGGGGCCCGGGGCAAAAAAATTTTTAGGGGCCCCTATTGCAAAAACATTTTCCAGAAAAATATTTTTCGGACAATAAATTTTTTTTAGGTGCGTTATAATTGCTTTCGTTGGACTTTTCCGCAATTTTCCATACCAAATTTCGGTTCATTGCCCACAAAACACAAATATTTTGGCCCGAAAACAGAAATATTTCGCCCGAAAAAATGACTGGGGTTAAATGATTAAATTTCTAACATTAAATTTCTAGGGGCCCCAGAGCCTCGGGGCAATTTGCCCCCCCCCC